CACTTTCTTGTTGCCATGGAGATGTCATTGCTCTGCCTGGAATGTTCCACAGTGTGACATTAAACAGCTCTACGTCACATTTATTCTGTTCAGTTCAAACAGGTGGTTTTGAAGCTCAGAAATACCTAGAAAAATTGAAATTGTGACTGTGAGCGGGGTCGCCTTTCCACAGATCTGACCTGTAACTTGGTCTGGTTTGGTCTCCATGAAGATAGAAATGTTTAATCCTGCAGTCCAGCAGAAAAGTTACACAGTGCACCTTTAAAACATGGTTAAACACTCATGACAATCTGTTTTAATTTGTCCACTTTAATTATTTTTCACAGCAAAAAGTGGAGTGTTAAAATTGACTCTCACTGAATCACTTTTAACATTTTCTCAGTGTTAATATTTTTGGAAATGTTCATTAAGTAACACTGGACCAAAGTTCCTGTTTAACCCTGAAATCAAGAGTTATATTAACGTTTTGAGAGTAAACAGATAACACTTTGTAGAGTTATCCTGATTTAGCTCAACAACACACAGAGGTGTTTTATTTTTATGCTTTATTTTAGGTTATTTACAATTAAATTATGAACAAAACTGCTTCAAACTGGACTTCTCTCATGGAAGTTTGAAGTGGTGGGTGGGAGGAGCCAAATTAACACTGAGGGAAGTTGAATTAACACTAGAGGAAGTTGAATTAACACTAGAGGAAGTTGAATTAACACTAGAGGAAGTTATATTAACACTTTGTAGAGTTATCCTGATTTAGCTCAACAACACACAAAGGTGTTATATTTTTATACTTTATTTTAGGTTATTTAAAATGAAATTATGAACAAAACTGGTTCAAACTGGACTTCTCTCATGGGAGTTTGAAGTGATGGGTGGGAGGAGCCAAATTAACACTGAGGGAAGTTGAATTAACACTAAAGGAAGTTCAATTAAAAATAGAGAAGTCGAATTAACACTAAGGGAAGTTGAATTAACACTAAGGGAAGTTGAATTAACTCTAGGGCAAGTTGAATTAACTGCACCCATATCAACTCCATATCAACAAATAACCCCAACTCAAACCCCCAGTTTCATAAATTTCAGATAGTTAAAATAACTTTTTCTGTTAAAAACAACTCTGAAATATTTTATCCTGATGTTTTTGGATATTTGTCTTACAGCACTTTTACACACACACACACACGCACACCCACACCACAGTGTACGCAGACACTGGGGGGGTAAGTGTACTGCCCAAGGACACAGCAACAGCATTCAGCTACTGTGACCTGCTGTGACATATTTAAAAACGAACAGATTCATTTGACATGAATAAAGAGATGCATCATAAACAAGGTCAACACTTCTTTTCTTTTTTTGAATATGGTAAAATAAATCAAATAAATCAAATAAATATGTTTCATTATGTAGATGTTTCACGCAGCGTCTGCACCTGTCAGCGTGATACATGGACAGGTGCGGGTTTCCTGACAGAGAATCTTCCGCAGAATCATTCAACTGTTTATTTTATTTCTATTTTGTGCCAAAATGTAAATGGAGGAAATGTGTTGAGCGTCAGTGACATTGCAGAGGATTACACAGAAGCCTCCTGCTGTCAGCGCTCGGTTAGTGTAGCGTGTTTTGAGTGACAGTTGGGAGCGATAAGAGAATCACGCGGAGATATCAGAGGAAAGATCGATCACAAATAAAAGTGAAATCTGACGCTGTGTTAGTCTGGTCCTCTCTCCTCACTTCTGCTGCAAAAGAAAGAAAATCACACAAAATAATGTTTGAATCAACACGGTTATGTCATCACTTTAATATCACTCCTGTCTGCTCCTGTCTGCTCCTGTCTGCTCCTGTCTGCTCCTGTCTGCTCCTGTCTACACCTGACTACGTCTGTCTGCCCCTGTCTACTCATGTCTACTTCTGTCTGCTCCTGTCTGCTTCTCTGATTCTGCCCCTGTTTCTGCTCCTGTCTGCTCTTGTCTGTTCTTCTCTACTCCTGTCTGCTCACGTGGCTCTGCTCCTGTCTGCTCCTGTCTGCTCCTGTCTGCTTCTGTCTGCTCTGCTCCTGTCAGCTCCTTTTTACTCCTGTCTGCTCCTGTCTGCTTCTCTGGTTCTGCCCCTGTCTGCTCCTGTCAGCTCCTGTTTACTCCTGTTTCTGCTCCTGTCTGCTCTGCTCCTGTCAGTTCCTTTCTACTCCTGTCTCTCCTCCTGTCCGCCCCTGTCTACACCACTGGCTTTGCTCCTGTCTGCTCCTGCCTGCTCCTGTCTGCTCCTGCCTGCTCCTGTCTGCTCCACTGGCTTTGCTCCTGTCTGCTCCTGCCTGCTCCTGTCTGCTCCACTGGCTTTGCTCCTGCCTGCTCCTGTCTGCTCCTGTCTGCTCTTGTCAGCCCCTGTCTGCTCCACTGGCTTTGCTCCTGTCTGCTCCTGCCTGCTCCTGTCTGCTCTTGTCTACTTCTCTGGCTCTCCTCCTGTGTGCTCCTGTCTGCACCTGTCTCTGCTCCTGTCTACTCCTCTGACTTTGCTCCTGTCTGCACCTGTCTCTTCTCCTGTCTGCTCCTGTCTGCTCCTGTCCTGTTTATTAACACTTTTCTTTTGTTAAATGTATTTGACTCTGTTTTTATTCAGCTGCAGCTCTTTTAAAAGCACAGGCGCTGTCCGTGGTGCTGAAAGCTGATTCTGTCCAGTCAAATGTCTTTCTTATATTCTCGTCTCTCTAAACCTGTTCTAATGTGAGGAAATGTCCCGCAGTGGAGCTTTAACTCTGTTCTAATGCAGCCTCCTCCTCAGAAATCTCTCTGTAGTTGTTTTGTTTCGTTCACACATGTTTGCGTAATCCTGCTCGTTTCAGCTCCAGCGGGACTCGGGGGAACACGAGCGTTTTATGAGGCGCATTAAAAAAGAAAAGGGATTAAATCAAAATGAACTGGGACAGATATTTACAATGAAGACATCTTATATTTGTACAACATTATCTTTCACAAAATGTTATCAGGAGATCATTTTTACTGTGAACCTGGTCAAAACTACTGCTACTGTTACTACCACTAGTACTACAACAACAACTACTACTACTACTACTACTACTACTACTACTGTTACTATGATAAATACTACTGTTACTACAACAAGACCAGAGACCAGAGACCAGATCAGAAACCACAGAAGAGAGACTAGAAACCAAAGACCAGAGGCAAGAGACCAAAGACCAGAGACCAGACCAGACAAGAGACCAGACCAGAGACCAGACCAGAGACCAGACCAGAGACCAGACCAGACCAGAGACAAGAGACAGAGACAAGAGACCAAAGACCAGAGACCAAGAGACCAAAGACTAGAGACCAAAGACCAGAGACCAGAGACCAAAGACCAGAGACCAAGAGACCAAAGACCAGAGACCCAGACCAGAGACCAGACCAGAGACCAGACCAGAGACCAGACCAGAGACCAAAGACCAGAGACCAGAGACAAGAGACCAAAGACTAGAGACCAAAGACCAGAGACCAGACCAGAGACCAGACCAGAGACCAGATCAGAGACCAAAGACCAAAGACCAGAGACAAGAGACCAAAGACCAGAGGCAAGAGACCAAAGACCAGAGACCAGACCAGACAAGAGACCAAAGACCAGAGACGAGACCAGAGACCAGAGACCAAGAGACCAAAGACCAGAGACAAGAGACCAGAGACAAGAGACCAAAGACCAGAGACAAGAGACCAAAGACTAGAGACCAAAGACCAGAGACCAGAGACCAAAGACCAGAGACCAGAGACTAGACCAGAGACCAGAGACCAAAGACCAGAGACCAGAGACCAGACCAGAGACCAGAGACCAGAGACCAGAGACCAAAGACCAGAGACCAGAGACCAGACCAGAGACCAGAGACCAGAGACCAGAGACCAAAGACCAGAGACCAGAGACCAGACCAGAGACCAGAGACCAGAGACTAGACCAGCGACCAGAGACCAAAGACTAGATACCACAGACCAGAGATGAGAAACCAAAGACCAAAGACCAGAGACCAGAGACCATAAATCTGTGACCAGACTAGAGGTCAAACCAGAGACCACAGACCAGAAATCAGAAACCAGATTCCAGAGACCAGAGACTAGACTAGAAACCAAACCAGACCAGAGACCAGAGACCAGAGTCCAGAGAGCAGAGTTTTCTCTCAGAACACAAAAACATTTTCATTGTGGCCAAACTGAAGCCCAAACCCGTGTGTTATTTTCAGGAGCTGGAAAAGTGCCAAACTGTGGATTGTGCAGCTCAAACAGGAACTTTTCAAAGTGTCACTTTTGGAATTGTTTGAAATTCTGCTGAAGTTTTCATAAAGAAGAAAAGTCTGAGTGGAATTTAAAACAGCCGCCTCTGCTTCTGAGCTCGGAGCTATGAGCGACAATATGAGAGGAGAATGGAACTCAAACACGCCAAAGCAAATATGGACATTTAACAATCAATCATCCTGGAAAATGATTATCAGAATAAAACAATGATGTGAAAACGCACTGTGTAACCTTACCCCGATGCAGACCTGCACCCAGAGGACCCTCCCATGACTCACCTCCACAGGATTCTGACAGTAAACCCATGAAGGCCTAACCAGAAGTCCACTGTTTCCTGATTGCTGGTTTCAATGTAACACTATAAAGGTTAACATTAGTTTATTCATATTAAAGATGAGTCCAAACCCTTAACTCACCTTAACCAGGACAGATCTGTTCCTCATCTTCACCAGACACACAGCAACACACACGGACAAACGACTCCAATCTGAATCCATTAACATCATTATAGGCTACATGTGGACACTTTTAATCCGCTCATTTTACCATGTGAGCAGAATAGAGCAGAGACCACACAAAGTTCACTTCAGAGTTGGACAAATGTAATGTGGGTGAAATGTACAATCTCTAAAGTGCAAAAAATGTTATGAAATACATCACCTTCAATAAGATTCAATACAGAACTAAGGCAACAACTATAAAGAGTAAAATAATGAAAATGATGAGGAGTGCAGGGTGGGGTGCTCTGGGTGGAGTCTGTGGGTGGGGTGCTCTGGGTGGAGTCTGTGGGTGGGGTGCTCTGGGTGGAGTCTGTGGGCGGGGTGCTCTGGGTGGAGTCTGTGGGCGGGGTGCTCTGGGTGGAGTCTGTGGGCGGGGTGCTCTGGGTGGAGTCTGTAGGTGGGGTGCTCTGGGTGGAGTCTGTAGGTGGGGTGCTCTGGGTGGAGTCTGTGGGTGGGGTGCTCTGGGTGGAGTCTGTGGGTGGGGTCCTCTGGACAGAGTCCTGCAGCAGGTTGGGTACCCGTGGCAAACAGTTGCTGAAACTGGCAGGTTTTAACGTGTGTAATCACACAGGTGGGTCAGGACTAAACCAGGACTAATCTTGGACTTAAGAGAGAGAGAGAGAGAGAGAGAAGCCCGAGCAAAAGAGAAAATGTGATCGGGCAAAGGCAGCACTTTCCTCCATGCAAGTGGAGATCTGTGCATGTGAAGATCTGCTCCAATCCTTTCGCCTGCAGTCATGTGATAGTCTACGCGGGTGCACCTCTGAGTCAGTACTGACAGTGAGTTCTGGTTTAGTCCTGGGTCAGTCCTGGTTTAGTCTTGGTTTAGTTTGTGGTGCGTGCGGCACCAAAATCTGGCATCTCAGTCAATGTTTCTGCTCAGTAAATAAAGCCTGTGGAGTGATAATAGTAGAGCCACGTCTGTCATATTTGTACTGAAGAAAGTGAAAGCATTTCATTTCCTAATTGTAATTCTTGAAATCAATTCATATTCTGATGGATGCTTCAGTTACAAAGCTTTTGATTTGTCTGTGATTTGCACAGGCGGGTAACTGGTGGATTGTTAACGGGTCTGGGCTGGTGTGGGTTTAACTTTGATAAAATCATGTGTTAACAGCCGGGTGTGGTGCTGTACAGCACGGGTGCGGGGGGTGCGGGTCTGTGGGTGAGGTCCTCTGGGTGGAGTCTGTGGGTGAGGTCCTCTGGGTGGAGTCTGTGGGTGAGGTCCTCTGGGTGGAGTCTGTGGGTGAGGTCCTCTGGGTGGAGTCTGTGGGTGAGGTCCTCTGGGTGGAGTCTGTGGGTGAGGTCCTCTGGGTGGAGTCTGTGGGTGGGGTCTTCTGCAGTCAGATCTCCCTAATGTTGTTGATTTTTAATGCTTTTCCAGGAATGTTCCACAGTACGGCATTAAATGCATATGTCTGTGAGGAGTCTCGCCTCTCCACAGATGTGACCTGTAACTTGATTGTCTCTGTGGAAACAGTTTGAGCTTGACACTTGACAAAATGAATCTGCTAGAGGAAATAGAGGCGTGTGATTGGCCCGTGACCTGGCGACATCAGCCTGTTGCCATGACGACCGGGCTCATCAGCAACACTGTGGAGTTCAGCTGTGGCACTGTCAGAATCCAAATTAAAGCTGCACTATGTCATTTTTCTCTTTCCCAGGACGGCTTTAAATGAATCTTTAAATATTTTGTTTTTTGTTTTTTTCTTGGTGGACAGACATGTTTGTTTCCATGGAGACAGATCTGTTTTCTGTAATTGTGTGGGAAAAAAATCATAATGTCTCCATGAATAGAACAGATTTCCGAGGGTTCAGCAGAAAAGTGCCCTAGTGCGGCTTTAAATGTGTGTCGTTAGTTTGGACTGAGCCTGTGAGTGTGGAGCTGTTTCCATGGAGACAGATGTGCAGGTGTGGGCAGGTGCAGCGCCTAACACAAGCACAAGCACTCACACACGAGAAGAGAGAGAGAAGAGAAAGAGGAAGAGAGAAGAGAGATAGAGAGAGATAGAGGAAGGACAGAAAGAGAGGAGGGCGGGGGAGGGAAAGCGAGAGAGAGAGGGGGGATAGAAAGAGAGAAAAGAGACTTGGAGAGAGAGGGATAGCAAGAAGAAAGAAAGAGGGGAGAAGGAGAGAGACAGGGATGGGGAGAGAAGGAGAGAGAGAGAAGGAGAGGAATAGAGAGAGAAGGAGAGAGAGAAGATAGAGAGGGAAGGAGAGGGAGAGAGTGAGATAGAGAGAAGAGAGAGGGAGAGAGAGAAGATAGAGAGGGAAGGAGAGGGAGAGAGAGAGAAGGAGAGAGAAAAGAAAGAGAGAGAGGAAAAGAGAAGGAGAGAAAGAGAGGAGAGAGGGGGAGGGAGAGAAAGATAGAAAGAAAGAAAAGAGACTGGGAGAGAGAGGGATAGAGAGAGTGGAGAGAAAGAAAAGGAGAGAGAGGGAGCGAGAGGAGAGCGAGGAATGAGAGGGAGAGAGGGAAAAACACAGAGGGCTAGAGAAGAGAAGAGAGAGAGGAGGGAAAGGGATAGAGAGAGAAGGAAAGAGAGAGAGGGATAGAGAGAGAAGGACAGGGGGGTGAGGAGCGAGAGAGAGGGGGTAGAAAGACTGAGAGAAAGGAGAGAGAGATGAAAAAAGAGCAGGGAGCGAGATAGAGAAAAAGGAAAAGAGGAGGGAGACAGAGAAAGGGGAAGAGAGAGAGGAGAGGTGGAGAGAGGAGGCCATAAGACAAAAGAGCAGAGAGACAGTGAAAGAGGGAAAAGAGGAGAGAGTTTTATTTTGTGTTTTCTCAGAATATTCAGTCTGACAAAAGAATCGATGAAAGTGAAACGAGTCAGAAGTACTGTTTTTATTCAGTAATGACATAATGTAGTTTTATGTGTGTACTATCTGTGTTGTGTACTCGTAGTATCTGTGTTGTGTACTCGTAGTATCTGTGTTGTGTACTCGTAGTATCTGTGTTGTGTACTCGTAGTATCTGTGTTGTGTACTCGTAGTATCTGTGTTGTGTACTCGTAGTATCTGTGTTGTGTACTCATAGTATCTGTGTTGTGTACTCGTAGTATCTGTGTTGTGTACTCGTAGTATCTGTGTTGTGTACTCGTAGTATCTGTGTTGTGTACTCGTAGTATCTGTGTTGTGTACTCATAGAATCTGTGTTGTGTACTCGTTAGGGGTTTAACAAAAACTGAAATATCATGATATCGTATCGTCAACGTTCTCACAGTAATATTTTAGATCATCACAATATATCAAATTACAAGTCTCTTTGCTTAGATTAAGAGTTATGGAGCAGCAATAGACAGAGGAAACTACATAGACCATGATCCTTTGCTCCATTTCAGTGCAGACTACATAAAGAAATAACAGTTCTAACACTTAAGTCTTAGTTCTTTAGATTAAGTCTTGTCGAGGCATTTTAAGAGAAAAAAGTCATATATTAACAGTCCTGTTCACCCCCACAAAATATCGCATTAAGTATCGTACCATGAGATGTTTATCGTGAAAATATCGCACTGAGAGATTTGGATATTGTTACATTTTTAATTGTGAACCTCCCAACCGTATCGTGAGCTTTACCACGATATCGCAGTAAATATTGTACCTTGACATTCAGACTGTGACGATATCGTATCGTGAGACTTGAGACTTGAATATCGTTACACCCGTAGTACTCATAGTATTTGTGTTGTGTACTCGTAGTATCTGTGTTGTGTACTCGTAGTATCTGTGTTGTGTACTCGTAGTATCTGTGTTGTATACTCGTAGTATCTGTGTCATGGACTAGTAGTATCTGTGTACTCGTAGTATCTGTGCGTATACTCATAGTATCTGTGTTGTGTACTTGTAGTATCTGTGTGTGTACTTGTAGTATCTGTGTGTGTACTTGTAGTACTGTGTTGTGTACTTGTTGTGTACTTGTAGTATCTGTGTTGTGTACTTGTAGTACTGTGTTGTGTACTTGTTGTGTACTTGTTGTGTACTTGTAGTATCTGTGTTGTGTACTTGTTGTGTACTTGTAGTATCTGTGTTGTGTACTTGTTGTGTACTTGTAGTATCTGTGTTGTGTACTTGTTGTGTACTTGTTGTGTACTTGTAGTATCTGTGTTGTGTACTTGTGTTGTGTACTTGTAGTATCTGTGTTGTGTACTTGTTGTATACTTGTAGTATCTGTGTACTTGTGTACTTGTGTTGTGTACTTGTAGTATCTGTGTTGTGTACTTGTTGTGTACTTGTAGTATCTGTGTTGTGTACTTGTTGTGTACTTGTTGTGTACTTGTAGTATCTGTGTTGTGTTGTGTACTGTTGTGTACTTGTACTGTGTTGTGTGTTGTGTACTTGTAGTACTGTGTTGTGTATTTGTGTATGTGTGTGTGTACTTGTTGTGTACTTGTTGTGTACTTGTAGTACTGTGTCTGTGTTGTGTACTTGTTGTGTACTTGTTGTGTACTTGTAGTATCTGTGTTGTGTACTTGTTGTGTACTTGTAGTATCTGTGTTGTGTACTTGTTGTGTGTATAGTCTCGTGCTGTGACACACACCACACAGAACATGATCGTTCTTGTTGTACACTGAACTTTCTCCTGTGAGTTTTAAGACGATAGAAAACTGTTCCTCCTGTGTTTTGTTTCATCCACATGTTTGAGTAATTATTTATTATGAAAATCTCTGTTCCACCTTGTGATGTCATAAAGGAGTAGTTTACAACAGCTCCATTTCCCTTTAGCTCTGTAAAGAACTGCACTTCCAGCTCTGAAATCATCCAAATGAATAAATGAATGTAAACACAGATGTGGTGTCCACGTGTTTGTGATGAACAAACGACGGTAGAGCAGAGATCAGAAAACGCCGGAACATGACCCTTTAAATGTGACACTGTGAGACAGTGTGAGACAGTGTGAGACAGTGTGGGACATTGTGAGACAGTGTGAGACACTGTGAGACAGTGTGAGACAGTGTGAGACAGTGTGGGACATTGTGAGACAGTGTGAGACAGTGTGAGACACTGTGAGACATTGTGAGACATTGTGAGACATTGTGAGACAGTGTGAGACAGTGTGAGACAGTGTGAGACAGTGTGAGACATTGTGAGACATTGTGAGACAGTGTGAGACATTGTGAGACAGTGTGAGTGTGAGACAGTGTGAGACAGTGTGAGACAGTGTGAGACAGTGTGAGACAGTGTGAGACACTGTGAGACAGTGTGAGACAGTGTGAGACAGTGTGAGACAGTGTGAGACATTGTGAGACAGTGTGAGACTGAGACAGTGTGAGACATTGTGAGACAGTGTGAGACATTGTGAGACAGTGTGAGACAGTGTGAGACAGTGTGAGACAGTGTGAGACAGTGTGAGACAGTGTGAGACAGTGTGAGACAGTGTGAGACATTGTGAGACAGTGTGAGACATTGTGAGACAGTGTGAGACAGTGTGAGACATTGTGAGACAGTGTGAGACAGTGTGAGACAGTGTGAGACAGTGTGAGACAGTGTGAGACAGTGTGAGACAGTGTGAGATGTTGTGAGACAGTGTGAGACACTGTGAGACACTGTGAGACAGTGTGAGACAGTGTGAGACAGTGTGAGACAGTGTGAGACAGTGTGAGACAGTGTGAGACATTGTGAGACAGTGTGAGACAGTGTGAGACTGTGAGACAGTGTGAGACATTGTGAGACAGTGTGAGACAGTGTGAGACAGTGTGAGACAGTGTGAGACAGTGTGAGACAGTGTGAGACAGTGTGAGACAGTGTGAGACAGTGTGAGACAGTGTGAGACATTGTGAGACATTGTGAGACATTGTGAGACAGTGTGAGACAGTGTGAGACACTGTGAGACAGTGTGAGATGTTGTGGGACATTGTGGGACATTGTGAGTGAGATATAATAGGGACAGTAATGAAAACAATAAGCACTTGATTGAGAAAGCAACAATAAAACAGAAAATGCAAAATAAAGATTGTCCCAGCAGTAACAGAGAAAATACCCATCAGCCCACAGAGCTGTATAATAATAATAATAATAATAATAATAATAATAATAATAATAATAATAATAATAATAATAATAATAGCTTGTATAATTCTTAGTGTTGTGTTTTTAGGGTGACCATGTTTACATCTGCCCACGAACTACAGATGAAAAAACACTCTCTCCTGGTACAATTACAGAAATGTTCATGAATGTACACCAGGAGTCTCCACCCTCTTCCAAGTAGCTCCACAAAGGATTTCTGAATGACACGTTACAATACCTTTTACTATTGTACATGTACATTTCAATGCCTGATTTTGTAAACAGATAACGGTTTGGAGGAAACTGGATCTCATCTAA